TTAGTATTTCCACAACCACTACTAGCATTTTTTTAAAGAAGGATTCAGTGATTTATTTGTTAATATACACAACAATCTTCACGTGTAAATTACAAAGTAAGGAACAAGGCCCATATCATCAGCTGCTATTTATTGGAGCAAGACAAAACAAACTTTTACAAGCACTGCATCAGAGATTTTGATTTTTCTTTATCTCAGACCTGAACAGCTGATGGAGGATTTATTATTCCTCTGTTAATTTCCCTGTATTTCTTTTGCTAGATAGGAACCTTCAGATGTTTTTTTAGTCCGAAATATCATTTAGCAATGCCACTTTAGTATACTGCCTTTGTTTCTCTCCTATTTTGTCTATTATTATACAGTCACAAATCATTATACAGTCACAAATCTCCCAAGTGCTCTCTTTCAAATAAAATGGAACACAGGCTTTTTTTAAAAAGGTCATCTTTAAAATTATATACAATAAATTCAACACCAGGAAAAATCTATTTAACAGCACTTCTCCCTCATCCCACATTTTATCTCCATTGAATATTAAGCAGCACAAATCAAAAGATGGGGCTTGTTGGCTGCTTCAGACTAGAGACATTCCCTTTCACAACCACAGCATTGAAGAGTGGTCTAGTGGCATTTCTGCAATTATTGAGGCTAAACCCCAAGACATGGACCACAAGCACTCCATCATTTTCTCCTGACCCCCAAATCTGAGCTATCATTTTCTTCTTAACATTAATTTCCCATTTATGTTCTTCCCCTGCGTCTGTACAGATACTGAAGAGGGAAATAATCTTTCTTCCTATCGTAAATCATGCAGATGAGCTTATCAAGTCCAAACAGAGTCTCTGGATTGTTTAGGGGAATGAAAAGCTAAAATTAATTTTTAAATGTCAGAAGCACATAGATATTCCAATGTCTTTTCAAGATATAAATTAATCAAACACATTTATGATAATGTAGAATTAAAAATTAAAAGGTCCCATATATCTTTGCAATTTCTGAAGACTGAATTTTATAGATATTTAGTTATCCAACAACACTGACTGTCAAGCAACAGAGCATTAGCATGACATGGGGTTACTCTGCTGCTGCCTCTGAAAATCTGAGAAGGCAGCTCCCTGCAGTACTGTTCAACAAGGATGTCCCTTAACCTTTCCCATAACATCACCTTGCTTTCTCCTCTCTTTCCTCCTTCTCTACATTATTCCCTGGTTTGGGCTGCAAATCCCTGCTGCTGTGTGGTCTTTGTTCTCTGCTGCTTTCTGACCCAAAGCATGCTCAGATGCTCACTGCCTGCAGTGACCAACCTTCCTTGCATACATGAGTCCACAAGTGGCCACCCTCCCTGTTTCCTTAGTCTCTTTCTTTGCTTTTGCTGTCCTTCTGGAAAACCATTTGCCCCTTAAATTCCTAAAGGAAAGTCAGATTGTCTCCCAGTGCTACTCCTGCTCAGACAGTCCATCCCTCCCAAAAATCCCCTTGGGGAAGAAGCCAATGTTTTGCCTTGCCTCCTCCAGCTCAAATGCCTTGGATCCTGGGCACAGCACTGGCTGTGCCTCCTGCCCACCCACCCACCCATCCCTCTGGCTCTTCCTAGACGGGAGCAGCTCAGTTCCTGCTGCCCATCATGAGATGGGAAGGAGATAACTCAGAAAGACTTCATATCCCAAAGTACCACTTTTTGTGCAGCCACAGGAAACCTGCCAAGACCACTGCAAGTGCTTTCTTCTAGCACATGGGGAGTAATCCTTCAAACAAGAGAACCAGACTGGCAGGTCTCTCCACTCTGGGATGCAGAGAATGGAGTGTTGCCCCTGCCATCGAGCTGCTGCTGAGACCAGGCAGCACCAGCCTCATGGGAACCTGAGCAGGACCTGCCTGGGGCTGGAGCAGAGTCAGGGTAGGGAAAATGGGGTTATGCCCCACAGGGGAACAGAGAGGCTTGGGGAACCTGTTCAGAGAGAGCTACTGCTCTGTCCTTCCCACAACCACTTGGGGATCACACATGTGCCATCCCAGCATACAGAGGCTGAGCTGCCTCTCATACTGAAGTCTGTGTCTTTTCTCCTCTCAGCTGATCCCAAAATTGTTTGCTGCAGCTGCCAGCAGCTCTCTGGCTCCTGGTATCCCACAATGTTCTGCAGGTTGCAGTGGGATCTGTGTTGTGGCAGGCTGGCAGCATGGAATGGGAAAGGCTAAAGAGGAGGCTGATCACACTGTCCAAGTGTCCAGATCCAGAGGGATGGATGTCATACAACAGTCTAATATGCCAATAGTTAAAAGCAGATATTTATCTTGCATGTCTTCAAAAGGACAAGAACAAACTACAACTAAAATGTGCAAATATGCAAAGTGAAAATGTCATCAAAAGAAGTCTCTCATCCTTGGAGCACACAGCAGATGAAAACCTTCTCCCCCCACCCTCCCCCCAGTGGGCTCCAGTTTATGCAATATTCAGAAGCAAATCAGCGCTAGCACATACTGCATAGGATAACAATGGTCTTTTTTACTGTTGAGGGAATGGTTATGTACTGCTTAGATGTTGCCATAAAAGCAGACTTGAAACACTGCCATAAAAATTCACCTGTGCAAGCACACCGCTTTCTTCGCCGACCTTGCAAGAGCCATAAAGAAGTAGAAACAAAACACCCTAGTAGCAGTCTAGCTTTCAATGAAAAAAATTTACACATGCTGAGGAGATGTAAACCTTTTTTTATCTTCTGTAAGTGCAAACGGCTCTTTGTAAATATATTTAGAACAGTAACATAGTTGCCATAAGGACTGAGTCTAAGTAACCATGTATTAGTTCAAGGGCACTAAAAACCCCATAAAAGCTGGAAAATCCTATGAGGAGAACAGCCAATGCTTTCTGTGCACAAATCAGGACTCTGCCTCTCTCCTAAGCTGCTGAAGTCCAAACTTGCAAGCTGGCAGGCAAAGACAAGAGCTTATCACAGCAGAGTGGAGGAAGCTGAGATAGGACAATGGATACCTTCTACCCCACTCTAGAGAACCGTAGCACAAACTTATGAGAAAGCTGCATTGTTAAGACATGCAAGATATGCTATGTTTCTCCAGAACATTTCTCCCCAGGAAAAACAACTTAAAATAGAGAATTTTGGGGAAACAAAGCTTTATTTCAACAAATGCTTTTTAAAACAAAAATCTAATCCAACCAGAAATCCGTGTCATGATTTGTTTCATACACGTCTTCTTTTTTCAGGTTAAATTTTTTTCCCAGTCAGTGCCTTTTGGCTACACCCACTGTGTAGATGGTTCACAGCAAGGCTCCTCATGCAGCACAGCTGGAAATGTGAGTTTCCTCTGTTGATAGAGTCTCTGGCTGTGATACTGAAGGGAAAAAACCCAAATAAGACAAAGCCCACCAAAATGCCTCTACATATGGAATCTCATTCAAAGGTTCAGCAATCTACTCTGTCCATCACACATCATGCACTATGGCTATCTGGCCCTTTGCTGCTTTCCTTAGGGATCTTCCTCTCCCCTTCCTTCCTTCCTGGCAGACTGCAGACTGGCATCAAAAACAAGAGCCAAGTTATACACAAATCTGCTGTGGGAGGCCTCACTGACACTCTAATCTTTCTGTGCTGGTGTGCCAATGGAAGAGGTCCAGCAGAATTTGGCCACCAAAATTATGGCCCCATCTGAGAAGCAGTGCTGCAGGAATTTTCATTCAAAACAAAATCCAAAGGCAGACTTTTGGAGAAAACCTGTAGAGGACCTCAAGCCAATAATCCTCCAATGCCACCTAGAGCGCTCATCTCTGAAGGAGGTCAGTAATACTGAGGGACCTGCCCTGTGGCCAGAGACAAAGAAGGTGGCTGCCAAAAAATCCATGGAATGACCAACAATTCCCCACTGTGAGGTGATGGCACTTTACCTGTAGTGAAGATTGTCAGCAAAAATTTAAGCCCAGAAAATAATTTGTGCACACTGAGATTCAACAGGGAGTTGAGATCAGCAAAGCATTCGCTAAACTGGCTGCAGAGGCCCCACAGTCTGATGAATAATTAATAAACTTTGGAGGCTTAATATAAACTCAAAGGTGGAGTCAACTCGGAATAGAGCTCTAGAGGAAAATCAATAACATCAAAAACAAAGTAAGTATAAAAACAGTAAATCCATTTTGTCTTTGTTCTTCCTTTATCTGTTACAAACTGAAGCAGCAGGGAAGCGCTCCCTTCAGGCACTGACGGCCTCTTTCCCCCTCAGGCGAGGAATTGTCCTATGCTATACCCGTGGAGCTGAAATGTACCGAGCTTTCCCACCTTTGGGCACTGCACACTTCTCTATGCAAGAAAATCCCGTGTTTTCAAAGGTGATGAACTCCCTTAGTTGACAGTGGCTCCAGCATTCCTGAAAACCAAGTTTTACACTGGGGGGAGGGGGGTGGGGGTGGGGGTGGTTGGTTGTGGGGGTTTTTTTTTGTTTTGTTTTGTTTTTTCTTTTTTTTTTTTTTGCCATCTTTTCACCGAAGAGCATTTGTTACAGGCATATCCAGAGAATCAATTAGGCTGAAAAATACCTTTGATATCATGGAGTCCAACCTATGCCCTAACACCACCTTGACAACTATTCTATGGCACTGAGTGCCATATCCAGTCTTTCCTTAAACACCTCCAGGGACAGCGACCTCACCAGTTCCCTGGGCAGCCTTCCAATATCTAATCACCCTTGCTATGAGGAAATTCCTCCTAACGTCCAACCTAAACCTCCGTGGCCCAGCTTGAGACTACTCCTCTCATCCTTGTCGCTGTTTGCCTGGGAGAATAGTGACACCTTCTTCCCTTTATTTCCCGCTAGGACGCCCCGGGGTCCCAAGGCTCCAAGGGCACGGGAAGCAGGCGCGCTGCCAGGAGTCGCAGAGGCGCTGCAGGGGCGGACCGGCCCTCCCCGCTGTGCCCGCCCCGCCGGCGAGGCGGGAGGAGCGACAGCCCCCGGAAACCGGAAAGGAGGAAAAAAATCCAAGTGAAACCCCGCCCCCAAAACCCTTCAATTTCCACCCAAAACCCGCCCCGCCCGCCGTGGTGACGTCACGCGCTCCGCCGTTCAGTGCGACGTGTCCCTCGGCCCGCGGTGAGGGCGGCTCGGGGGGCCCGGGTGTTTCCCGGCCCGGGGAGACGGGGATCAGGGCTGAGCAGCGAGGATTGGGATAGGGCCAGGGATGGGGCATTGCCGGGACTGCGGCAGGCAGGGGGACCTCGGCCGGAGCGAGGGGGAAGGGGGTCGCTGGGACGCGAGAGGGGCCGGCATCACACCGGGAGCCTTCTGCCAGCTCCTACCAGGGGGTCCGTATGGATTAGTGGGAGCAGATCCCGCCGGTGGTGTCCTGTGTGCCGTAGTAATGCTGGTACACGCTTGCTCTGAGGATACGGCTCGGGCACGGCGCTCTCTCCGTGCTCACCAGCCCTCGGCAGCTTTTGGCGTGGAGGTCCCCTCAAACCGGCGGCTTTTGTCTATTTAGACCTCTCTGGAACACGGCATAGGGCGTGAGCTGAAAGCCCAGCTGTGATGGGGCTGTTTTCCTCTTCTGGGCTGAAAGGCACAGTTTTCCATATTTTTTTCTTTAGCAGTCAGAAATAGGCCCTCATGTTTATTTACTGAAACAGTGTCTTCATTTCCTGCAAAGTGGAAGTATCTTAGGTTGGAATATAACGCTTACCTTAAGCCTTTAACAAATTTTGTAGGTAACTGTTACTAATGTAATGAAAAAGTCTGATTTTCAGTGTATATGTGGAACCATCAATGCTAAATGTGTGTGTCTTTGCAGGCAATCATGGATCAGGTAATGCAATTTGTGGAACCCAGCCGTCAGTTTGTGAAAGATTCCATACGACTTGTTAAGAGATGCACCAAGCCTGACAGGAAAGGTAAAGCACACAATAAACCAGAACACAATCCTTATTTCATCTTGTATCTTAGCATGTGTCTTTCCATACGTCACTTCTGTTGATTTGTTTGCTGTGGATGTTTCTCAGCTGCCACTGTGAGATTTAAACTTGAGCTTTAGTTGTCTAAATGTCAGTGTGTTTAAGGTTCTGGCTATTGTAAACACATGTATGTAGGTGTGTAAGTGGTACTAAAATTCACTTTAGGAGAGAGATTAAGTAGCTGAAATTCAGTGCTCCGCTGTTGTCAGTCATTGCCTGATTGCGACAGGAACAATTTTGTTGCTGGGAGTAGGGAAGAGGAGGTTTTGGACTAGAAAGGCCCTGGAGGGAAGCTATAACTAATACCAGAATACAGCTGGTCCTCTGAAAGTTACAGTGCTTTATTTACATGCTCAGAGTGAGCAGGTCTGGGACTTAAATTTGCTATTGAGATCCATAAGGAACTTAATTCCTTGTCAGATTGGCAGGGTTTCTGAGGGGCTGTTGACCTTTGTTAATTTCATGGCTGCTGTCCTAAAGTAATTGAAAATATCCCAAGTATTCGATTTTTCTGGGGTCTTAGAGTGCTGTCCTCCTGTGACAGACATAAATACAGATTTTCTATTTTTGATGCTGTATTAAAGATTACTTTCAGTGCTTGTAGGGATGTAAAGAAAACATAATGGGATAAAGGTACTATGAATCGTCATAGTGGGTATTTTTGATTCTGCTTATGTAAAAAAAGATTGTGATTAGCCATTCTTTGTGGAAATCTCCATCTTCTCTCTGAAAATCTCATCTGTCTTCTAAAAAAGTGGATTTGTTTCTCAGCATCTGTGCAGACTTTGAAGTGTTTCCAGTATTAACATAGTCCTGTAAAGAGAGATCTCTCCTTTGGTCTCTGCAGTGCACATATGTATGCCATACATGAGACATCCTAACAAATTTTCTTTTTGTTATTTTGCAGAGTTCCAGAAGATTGCCATGGCAACAGCAATTGGCTTTGCAATAATGGGATTTATTGGTTTCTTTGTCAAATTGATCCATATCCCCATCAACAATATAATTGTGTAAGTGAATACGGCCTTCAGTTTCACTAAATTTTTACGTCCTCAGTTTTAAATGGAGGATATTAGTGAGCCCTGTGGGACCCATGTTGTTTTTGTGTCTGCATTTCACATGTTAGTGTAATATGACAAGTATTACTTGATTCAAAGGACTTTATGAACAATGCTAATGAACTTTATGTTAATTCAGTATGCTACAAAGTATTAGAACCACTGTTCTCAGTTTTTTTTCTGACTATTCTGCTTCAAAACTGAACGTTAGATATTTTGATTTCCAGTTCCTCAGTGTATGTTTGACCACAGAACATTTACCTCATTTGGATCTTAAATGCTCTTACTATTTCCACTTTATAGCCTGGGTATGCAAAGTAAATGGATAATGGATGGTAAGGTAAAGAAAACTGAGTGGGTATGCTGTAGGAAGAGAGGGCACAGAACAAGGTTGGCCTTGTTTCATTTACTGAGTGCTAGATATGTTTGAAATGTTGTTTTAGGTGTAACTGCATCCTGTAAAATCCCTTTTGGAATGAATATTACATCATGAAGAATTTGAACTTCAGGTTGGCTGGCCCCATGGTAGTGACATACTAACAGTACCATATTCTCCAGAGCTAATGTCATCCCCTCTCCAGCACTGGAAGAGGCTAAAGACCATTCTGTGTCTGTAATATGTGACTCCCTTATAAGTGTAAGAGTGGTCATCTAGGCAAGGAGTGTTTGAAAATGGGAGATAAGCTGTAATGGTTGTCCTAACAAGGCAGTGGTGGGAGGATAAGTAAGACTTTAGGTGGGATCACTTGATCACACTTCATTAGTTGAAACGGATTCCTTTGTTCTCTCAACAGAGGTGGCTGAATATTCATCATGAAGAAGACAGTTGTGACACCTGCTGCAGTGATTTCACAGCTTTAATTTGTTTGATATTAAACAAGCTCAGTTTGCGTTTTCAAACGTTGTTGTCATCTTACTACTTTTTTTAAAGTGTATGTGATCATACCTCTCTGCAGGCTTGCTTCTTTTTTTTTGGTAATAGTAGTTGTGTGCTTTACTTGTTTTGTTACTTCTTTTAACCATAGTAGAATCATTCAAGTGGGAAGGAAGCTTGGACAATCTCTAGTCCAATGTCCTGCTTGAAGCTGGGTCGGTGTTGCATTCTAATGAGGTTGCCTAAGCTGTATGACCCCTCTTCAGGGGCTGTTTACAAAGCAGTAAATCAAGCTTTGGAACAGCATTGCTCTAGCAAAAGCGGACTGCAAGAAAACAGCCTTTCTTTCAAGTGGTGTAAAAGTGTATGGGAATTCCTGTCAGTCATTTCTGGAATCACCATCATTATCACTAATTCCTTTCTGCATTTGGAGGTCATGCTACTAGGTTGTAGTATGTACTTGACAGGAAAAAAATCTCATGTCAAACAGAGAAATTGCATTGCCAGTCCTTATTCTGATGGCATAATTAAAAAACCCAAACATAATTGATTACTGAGATATACCATTTGAGGATAATCTAGTTGTCAGAGACACTAAGCAGTCCTTCAGCAAATCCACAATTTGCTCACACCATTGGATAGGATATATACCCATTTTGGATCATGTTCTGTACATAGAATTGTATTGGCCCCCTGCATGTTGACCTGGAAGTTTTTATTATTTTATATTATTGCATATTTTGATTTTAAGAACTAAGCCTGCAAAAACTCTGGTAGATGCAATGCTCTTCCTCCTCAGATTGAGATTAAGACATTTAATTCACTTAAAAATGTTATTGTAAGCATTTAGTATTTGCAGAAGGTACAATGGTACTTCTGTTACAGACTTTAAAAGCACTTAATGCTGGGACATCTGATACTGGTACTGCAGCAAAACTGAAGCTTCTTCAGTACACTAACTTGCTTCCTAAGTAGAAAAGTTCAATTATTATTCTTGAGAAATCTTCACCAGCACCTACCTATGTAACAAACCAGGACAGAAAAATGAGATTAGTTAATCTTGGTGCTATCACCTTGTGATACAGTTTTACTATGTACAACTGGATACTGTATTTCCTTTTGGCAGGACAGGAATAATAGTTGAGTATTGGAATAAAATACTTTGTAAAAGTAGCCTGAACTAACCAGATAAGCAGCAGCAGTTTCTTTACATTGATTTCGGTTTGTGGTTGTACTGAATGGCTGCTCATGCATCTTCTGATTAAGTAGATTTACCAGAATGAAGTACTCTATAACAGCAAGTAATTTTGATTCAGTCTCAAGTGACTTTTATTTCATACTTGTTTTTCATTCAATACAGAAAATCAGTGCCTGCTTATATCTTGCAGCAGTTTTAGTGTCTTAATTCAGTGAAATTTTGTAGTAATTTGAGTCGTGTCAGATCAGAAAAGGCAGCTGTAGCTGATCTTAGCTCTTGATAGCCATTGTCCACAGCAAAGGTTTGTCCGTCTCGATGGTCACGATCCCGGAGTTGTCATAGGTGTTGGAAGTACTGACCAGTGTTCCAAACTTCAGCACCTGGTTAGCTGTGAAAAGTAAGGAAAAGACTGAGTGGTTCTCTACAACAATAAAACAACATCAGTGCATTGATTTGAAAGACCACTGCTCCCACAAAGAACAAAAAAGTAGCTAAATAAATTCAAACTGGATAAACATTACCTAGTTAGAAGGCTTGTATGAGATTTTTCAATGACCCTAAGAGGCAATAAATTAATCCCCATATTAACAGTTTGAGTTTACACCAGGTTATTACAAAAGCAGTGTGTTGGATAATCCTCAGGGTTTCACATCTGGAAATGTGTATTTCATTTGAATCAGTTCAAATACTAGTGCTAGAAAATGTAAAACAAAGAGAATCTTACTGTAATTCCAAACTTGGGATTTGCTTTAGCTCAGCAACAAGCCTATAATCTTTTAAAACATGAACAGTTCTAAACAAAGGCCAGCAGTGAAAAGTGATATTTAGCAACTTTGAGTTAAGGGACTTGAACCTTTTCTTCTATTGCATGTGAGGTAGGTGTTTGTGTACATTAGAAATAACAAATAGCAAACCATACAGTTTAAGTTCTGCCTTTCATTTCTTCCCTTTTGAGATAGCGTTGTTTGCATGTTGCAAACATATCAACTTCCTCAAAGGCACTCTAGAATTACTCAGTTCTGTGGTAGTCCTTGCTCATAGGAAGGTTCAGAGTAAGAACTCTAATACTATCCTTTGATTTAGCTTGTAAAACAAGCCAAATTATAGCTCTTTCCCACTGGCAGGTCAGAAAAACATTTCCAGGTAGGATACAATGATAGCTGCAGCTGGGGAGGATTGTTCTGGAAGATCAGCAAGTCTGTGTGATCTATCAGAATTGCCAAATTGTGCATTGCTACCAAAGTAAAAATCCTCTGGATTTGCTATTAAGTGACCAAATGCAAAGGAGGATCTCCCTGTAGTCAAAAGGAGTGCAAAACAACTTAGTATGCTCTAAGTTATGTGATTTGCACAGGAGACACATTTTCCGGTGCTGGATATGAATGCTGGCTGTAGTAAACTTGGGTGTAGTGCATTACTACAATGCATGCACTGTCTGGCCCTTGCTGGAAGCTGCACAGGAGGAACTGATCTTGCCAGACTCTACTGCTTTAAAAGGAAGGACGTTCAGACAAAAGCCAGGATATATAGTTCAGTGTCTCTTTGCCAAATCTGTGCTTGCTCTACTTATTCCTGCTCCTACACTTGTTACGAGCTTGAAGTGAACTGAAAAGGAGGTTTCAGCTGCTAGCTGAATTTGTTGGCATGAGAGTAACACCCAAGTTTCACTACTGCAAATGGAAGAATCCTGCCATTTCAAGTTCAGGAGCGGGGAGCATAACTGCTATGCAGTGCAGAAATCCAGCAAAGAGAAAAGGAAAAAAAACCCCAGTACTACTGTACTATATTAATTGTGTACCTAAAATAAAGGTGCTAGATTCCATCAAGATTCTTTTGGACACACAACAGTACCAGGCAGGCTCCTAGACAGATGCCAGGATGGATGAGTTTTGGTGTTTGCCTTTGGAAGACACAGCAGAGGCCACAGGGGCTGTGTCTTGCCAGAAAACACAAATTTCCCAATTTGTAGGTAAACAAGTCATTTAGTGCTGAGGTAACACATGGGTAGAGTTCCCTGAGTATAAATACTCCCAAAATACTGTGTTAAGTGCTGTGGTCAAGCTATGAGTGTTTCCAGTCAGTTTTAAGTAGGAAAGAAGCTTAAATACTTTAAAACATTTACTGACACACAAATTATCTTCTTTTGGTTACTATATATTGAAACTTGAAGGGGGTGGGGAGGAAGAACTTTTTTGATGAACTACTGTATAAACCCACTCGTTTAGTATCATTTATTGCTTCTTGCTCAAGACTCAGAATAATACTCAATGTTTCGTAGCTTTGCATATAAAATAATGGCTCTGCAGAAGGCAAGAATTAACAACAACATGGCAGCTTAATGAAACTAAATCTAAAGCCATATTTCTTAGTGCATAAAATCAAGTGAAAATGAGAGCCTTTTTTTTCCCCTTTCAATAGAAAATTCTAGCCCACTAGATGGAGCCTTTTATCTTTACCAGGTTTTCTGCTGGGCAAGGATCACAGTGTGAAATAGTGAAATGAAAAAAAATGCAAAAACTGTTAAACAGTACTGCTGATTCACGTGGCCAACTGCTGATCAAATGGGCCAATTCCAAGCACTTGGTTTCACACTAGCCAACATTTCAACTAACATAATTAAAAATGTATGTTTTCCATTCAATAAATGAACAGTAATTAATGTAAAAACCTAGTTTTGAGCTGGTAAAGGAAATAAGAGGATGTGCAAACCTACTGCTGCTAGGCAAACTTCTGCTGTGTCATGCATTCTGATGGAAGTTTACAAGGTCAGAGAAGTGGTAAGTTTTATTAGTTCACACCTGATCCATTCCCTTTTTTTAAAATGAATTTCAGTTTTATTTGTAAGTCCTACCAAGAACTTACATCTTGGGGGAAAAAACCCTACCTATTACAATACTCATTTTCACTACAATGATTACTTTTCAAGAAACGGATTCTGAAGAAAACCCCCTCTTTATATTTTACTATTTAGTAAATAGTTTTGCTATAATTTAGTACCAAATCCAATTTTAATAAAGGATTCCACACTGTGATTAAAAGAAAAATCCAAAACTCAAAACCCCTGGAAATTCTATAATTTTCCAATTAAAATAAATCTTACTTTGGATCACTGAAAGCTTTCTTTTTGACCAATAGTAGTCTCTTTAAAATCTTGATTTTGTTAAACCCATAAGTGATTAACTGAAATACCTCTCACCATTAGAAGTTTTGTTTAGTGCTTTGGTTCCAAGCAAACTGAGTTTACTGATAATGGATTGTTGATGAGAAAAATACCCAGCGTAACCACAAGACTGGCAATTTCCACTATTTTATTGCTCTTACTCTGATAATTAAAAAAAAAGTATACAAATCCTAGGATGCTATATGAAAAATTTTAATTTCAGAGGTAAAATTTTGAAAATTCATTAATCTTTTGGATGCAAGAACAACATCTGGAAATGATAACAGAACGCACCCTATATTAAGGTAATTAAGTTACAGAAATAATCAAAAACCCGAAACCTAAAAATTTATTTTAAAATCTCATCCCATTTATCCTTCTACCACAGTGGGGATTTATTTTTGAGTGGCTGGTACTGAAAATCAGTTATCTTTGAGTGGCTGGTACATAAGCCTTGCTTGTAATCTTTGTGCTGCTGGCTTTCAGCCTGGAAACTGAGAAATAGTATGGCCTAATTATAACTAGATTGGAGGTCATCATGTCAAGTGCTGCAAAAATACTCTCAATATCAGGTAATTCCTCTTAATGAATGTATTCATGATCTAGTAGACTGATAAACATAATTTCTATGTTCCATTGTATTATTTAGGACACTTAAAGTTTAGTGC